ACCTTAGGTGGATGAATTTACTACTGAGTTCTCACTTCTGTTCCATTGATGTATGTGTCTTTTGTTGTACCAATACCAGGCTGTTTTGACTACTGTGACTACATTTGGAGATGCAGAAGCAAGACACCTCCTACTCTGTTTTTCTTTAGAAATGCTTTGCTTATCCGAGGTCTCTCTCCTTTCCATATAAAATTGGTGATTAGTTTTTCTATCTCTTTCAAGAATGTTGTTGGGATATGGATTGTTGTTGTTGTTAAGTGCTGTTGAATAGGTCCTGACTCATAGCAACCCTGTGTAGGGTTTCAAAGGAGTGGGTGGTGAGTTTGAACTTCCAATCTTGTGGTTCAAACCAACCTTGTGGTCCAGCGCATTATCCCACAGTGCCACACCAGGATTTGGGATTGCATTATATTTCTAGATTACTTTGGATAGTATTGAAATTTTCACAATGTTATATCTTCCTATCAGTGAACATGGTATATTCTTCCATTTTTTTGTAGGTCTCCTTTGGTTTCTTGAAGTACAGTTTTGTAGTTTTCTTTGTGTAGGTCTGTTGCTTCTTTGGTTATATTTATTCTTAAGTATTTAATCTTTTGGGTGGTTACTGGAAATAGTGTTGTTTTCCCAATTTTCTCTTCAGAGCTTTCTTTATTAATGTAAAGGAATCTGACTGATTTTTGTATCTTGATCTTGTACCCTGCCACTTTGCTGAATCTTTCAATGAATTCCAATAATTGTATCACTGAGTCTTTGGGTTTCTATGTATAGGATCGTATCATCTGCAAATAGAGAGAGTTTTACTTCTTCCTTGCCAATTTTGATGCCTTTGGGAAATGATTTCCATTTCTCTCCATTGAGAGTGATGTTGGCTGTTGGTTTTGTATGGTGATGGGTGGTCATTATGTACTGTGGAGTAGGTTCTGACTCATAGCGACCCTGTACAGGGTTTCCAAGGCTGTAAATCTTTACAGGAGCATAAAGCCTCATCTTTCTCCTGTGGAGCACCTGGTAGATTTGAACTACTGACCTTGTGGTTAGCAGCTCAGCTTGTAATCCACTATGCTATCAGAGCTCCTGGTTTTGTATATATGCCCTTAATTATGTTGAGAAATTTCCCTTCTACTCCTATTTTTTTGAGTATTTTTATTAGAAATGGGTGTTGGATTTTGTCAAATGCCTTTTCTGGGTTAATTGATATGGTCATGAAATTATTTTCCTTTGTTTTATTTATTTGGTGGATTACGATGATTGTTTTTTTTAAAATACTGAATCATCATTGCATAGTTGTTATTGCTATGTGCTGTCAAGTTAGTTCTAATTCATAGTGACCCTGTATAGGATTTCTTGGGATGGTTGGTGGGTTTGAACTGCTGGTTACTGTTAGCAGCCCAGTGCTTATCTTACAACACCACACCCGGACGCTCATCCTTGCATACGTCGAGGTATGAATTCCACTTGGTCATGTTGTATCATCTTTTGATATGTTGTTGGATTCTATTGGTTAGGAGTTTGCCGAGAATTTTTACATGAAGAATATTGATTTATATTTTATTTTTCAATGAAGTCTTTACTTGGTTTTGGCATCAGGGTTATGCTCACTTTATAAAATGAATGTGGGAGTTTTCCATCCTTTTCTATGTTCTGTAATAGCTTGAATAGAAATGGTGTCAGCTCTTCTCTGAATATTAGATAGAATTCACCAGTAAAGCCATCTGGGCCCAGAATTTTTTCTGTTGGGAGCTTTTTGTGACCAATTCCTTTTTGTTGTTGTTGTTATAGGTCTGTTCAAACTTTCTATTCCAGTCTGTTAGTTTAGGACAGTAGTGTGTTTCTAGAAATTTGTCCATTGCTTCTAGATTTTCAGATTTGCTGGAGTAAAATTCTTCATATGATTTTGTTATTATCCTTTTTATTTCCATTGATTCTGTTGTGATGTCACCCATTTCATTTCTCATTCATGTTATTTGCATCTTCACTTTCTTTTCCTTTATTAGCTTTGCCCATGGTTTGTCAATTTTATCAATCCTTTTAAGGACCCAAGTTTTTGGCTTATTGAGTCTTTCTATGAATTTTCTGATTTTCTGTTTCATTCGTTTCTGCTCTAATCTTTATTATTTCTTTTCTTCTGGTGGAATTAAACTTACTTTGCTGCTGTGCTTTTTTTTTCTTTTTCTAATTGTTGGAGATGTTGGGTTAAGGTGTTAATTTTTCTTCTTTTTGGATGTTTGCCTTTATTGGTATAAATTGCCCTCTGAGCACTGCTTTTGCTGTATTCCAAGGGTTTTGGTATATTGTATTTTTGTTCTCATTGGATTTAAGGAATTATATATTTTCACTTCTACTATTATCCAGTGGTTTTTTAAGTGGGGTATTATTCAATTTCCATGTATTTGATTCCCCCCTCCTAGATTCTCCTGTCGTTGATTTCTAATTTTATAGTGTTGTGATCTGAGAAAACATTTTGTAGTATTTCACTGTTTTAAAATTTACTGAGGTTTGCTTTGTGACCTATAATATATGGTCTATTCTGAAGACTGTTCTATGTGTACTGGAAAAGAATGTATCTTGTGCTGTTGTTGGGTGAGTGCTCTGTAGGAGTCTATGAGGTCCAGTTGGTTGATTCTGCTGTATAGTTCTTGTCTTAGTTGAATCCATTTTCATTGTCTTGTCCTTCATTGACAGTGGTATATTAAAATCTCCTACTATTATTGTAGAGTGGTTTCTTTCTTCAATTCTGTTAGAGTTTGATTTATATTTTGAAACTCTTTCATTGGGAGTGTAGATATTTATTATGCTTATATCCTCTGGTTTAATTAATGACCCTTTAATTATGATATACTCTCCTTTGTTTCTTATGCTGGCTTTTGCCTTAAAGTCTGTTTTATCAGAAATTAATATTGCTACTCTTGCTCCTTGTTAGCTTAATGTATTTTTTTCCATTCTTTGATTTTCAGTCTACTTTGTGTGTAAGATGTGTATCTTGTAGATAGCATATTTAAAGATCCTGTTTTATCATCCATTCTCCTACTGTGTTTCTTAACTGGTACATTTAATCCATTTATAGCCAATGTAATTATTATTATTTAAAAATTTTTATTGTGAATTGAAATGTTAACAGTGTAGACCATCAATTTTACATTCAACAAATCATATACTTTGTTTCATTGCAATGATTGCTATTCACTCCATGTACCATAGTTATTGTTTTTGTTAAGTGTTGTAGAGTCCGTTCAGACTCATAGTGACCCTATGTAGGGTTTCCAAGGAGTGACTGGTGAACTTGAACCACAGACCTGCGGTTCAAACCAAACTTGCAGTCCAACACATTAACCCACAGTGCCACATTTACCTCTGTTCTTCAGTGTAATTATTGGTAGGTTTGAAGGGATTGTTGTCATTTTGCTGTTTGTGTTTTTTGTGGTGCTGCTGGTGTCTTTGTTCCATATCATTTTCTGTTCTTAGTTCATTTTGTTTGTGGGATTTCTTGTCATTTTCTTCATTGCTATTGTTTTGTTGTTGTTGTTGTTGTTAAGTTCTGTTGAGTTGATTCCAACTCATGGCCACCCTGTATAATGTCTCTGAAGAGTAAGTGGTGGCCTTGAACTGCTGACCTTGTAGTCAGCAGTCTGTAGTTTATTGTGCTAATTTTTATGATTTTCCTTCTTTTTATTTTTGATGAGGTTTATTAATTTTCCTTGATATTATTCTGTATTTTATTAATTTATTTCCCACTTTAAAACAGTCTCTATTATCTTGAAATCTACTTGACTTGCTTGCCACTTGGAAGGTCTGTAACTACACTATTTCTATTTTTACTTTATTATTGTTTTCATTATAAGTTTGTATCGTTGGTTCCTGGTGTGGTGCTACAAGATAAGGACTGGAGTGCTAACCATAAAGTTGGTGGTTCAAACCTACCAGCCACTCCTTGGAAACCCTGTGTAGGGTTGCTATGAGTCAGAACTGACTCGATGGCACTTAACAACAACAACCATGTTTGTATTACTTGGGATACATCTATTTTGGACTCCTGGTATGGTATTATGGGATCAGCACTGGATTCAGAACCACAAGGTCGGCAGCTCAAACGCACCTATCTAGCAAGACATTTGGTGACTTCTTTACCAGGAGCTCTGGTCAAACCAAGGCTAGATAAAACCATGTCTGGAGTATTGTGGGAAAAAGTTCTGTTGCTCAATGAGATACCGTCTCTCTATATTAATGTATGACCATGGTTTCTGGCCCTCAATTTCCCAAAATACATAAAGAAAGAATGCATCTGGATAATCTCTAAGAGCTCTTCCATCCTCTCAGATTTTATCAGAATTTGTCTTTAGCTTGCTCACAGAATCAGATCATCTCAGAAGTACTGGAAATCCTGTACATGGTCTCTATGAGTTGGAACAGATTTGATGATATTAAACAGCAGCAGATATTTGGATTGGGAGTGTGGTGGCTCCCATATGATAAGCACTGGACTGCGAACCACAAGGTCTGCAGTTCAAGCACCCCAGCTGCTCCACAGGAGAAAGATGAGGCTTTCTGCTCTTATGATGATCAAAGCCTCAGAAACCTTAGAGAGGCTCACCATGAGTCAGAACCAACTTGATGGCACTTAACAACAACATTTAGATTGAATTCTGGATGATGTTTGCCATATATGTTAATCTCAGGATGCTGTCTGATGTTGTTGGTTCTCTGTCCAAAGAACTCCATTTAGCATTTTTTTTATAAAGTTAGGCATGCTATTACAAATTCTTTTAATTTCTTTTTATTCAGATGGACTTCTCCTGAGATGTTGGCACTCAGCTTGGACAGTGGCCTGCGAAAATCACAGGAGGTAGGTCAGGTGTCCTTGTGACACTGTGGGGTGGGCATCTAGTACCCTGCTGAGACATCATCAAAGTTCCATAACTGAAGAGCTGGAAGACACCTTGAAGGGCAATCTGTTTATAGACACAGAAACTGAAGCCTAGAAAGGGGAGGGCAGAGCTGGGTGCTCAGACTTCAGAAGCCAAGGTTGTCAGGAGATTCCTTGATCCCTTCTGCTGCCTCACTTCCCCGATTAGGTAAGGATGGGTCTCCTTCAGGGCTTTGTAGAGTCGATCTTTGCAGGCCCAGTCCCAGGACCGGCTGAAGCTGAACAGCTTCCGCATCTGGTCAGGCTTGGTGGTCTCAGCGCGCACACTCTCATACTGCTCCTCGTTCAGCATGTGCCCATGCAACTTGTCCAGGACCGGGTCCACCATTGTCACCCGGGCAATCAGCTGCTCCCGATACCGGTCCACAAAATGCAGGTGGTCTGGAAGTGAAGGTGAGGCTGGCAACAAACAAAAAGGGGGTTCTACCATAGCCTCTACCTTAGATCCCCTACCTCTAGCTCCCTTCACTCACTTCATCTGCATCCCTGACCTCCTTCTCCCCTTTAAAGGCCACTTGACCACCAGAAAGTCACTTGAGCCTCCAGCCTAGCATTCTGTCTGAGGTGGGAGGTTGGGTTGGGATTAGGATTGAGGGGTGGGGATGAAGTGAGGAGTCATGATAGGGACATTTGAGGCTGTCCAAGGGGAGGTGGAGAGCCAGGGAATAAGGAAGGACTCTGGACACACATCCACTTTTCAAGGCTTGATCTATTGTGAGGTTTGCAACAATAGAATCCCTTCTGTATTTATTTTCCTTGCTTTCAGGAACAGACCCCTCAGAACTGCCATTGGCACCTGTTGTGGCTTTTACTAACCTGCTAGGTTGGAAGGGGCCAGGGTAGCTGCCGGTCTGAGATCTCCTGGAAAAACCAGAGATGAAGAGCATCTATAATACCACTAATATTAACACACACCATACATCTCAAAACTCTCGTCTACTTCTGAGATGATCTGATTCTGTGAGCAAGCTAAAGGCAAATTCTGATAAAATCTGAGAGGATGGAAGAGCTCTTAGAGATTATCCAGATGATAATCTGGATTTGGGAAATTGAGGGCCAGAAACCATGGTCATAGATTAATATAGAGAGCCGGTATCTCATTGAGCCACAGAACTTTCTCCCACAGTACTCCAGACATGGTTTTATCTAGCCTTGGTTTGACCAGAACTCCTGGTGAAGAAGTAACCAAGTAAGTGTCTTGCTAGATAGTTTAAACTATTTGAGATCTTATTCTTGTCCTTGTTTGGCCTTCTAGACTCACACAGACCAAATCTGTTTGTTCTGAATTTGGATGTCAGAATCAAGAATCAAGATCAAACAAATCTTAGCACATGACAGTAATGGGTAAATTGTAATAGGAAAAAAACCCAACTTAAATAAAAGGTGCTTAAATGATTACTTACATAAGGAGAGGAAGAGGGAGCTCACAGCACTTCATGTGAACAACGCCACAGAGTTTGGGTAGATCCCAAGTTCAGTGTGAGTGTGGCAAGATCAACACAAGGAGACTGGAGATTAGGTTGCATTATTGGGAGCACTGGGTTCATTTGGATGGAGAGAGGAGGGTTTCCATATCCTCCCTGTTCTTTAGACAGCCTTGGAGTCAATCCTGACTCCATCTACAAACAGGAACATCTACTGAGGAAGGTGACTGGAGGACAAGAATTTAAAAACTGAAATATAAGAGGAAGCATCGACGGGAACTGCAATGCCAACTTGCATCAGAGGAAACTTAAAGGAGACATTATATCAACCTCTAAGTATCTAAAAGGCTTTCTCACGGGAAGGAGTCAGACTTCTGTGAACTCCAACAGACAGAATGGAGACTGGTAGGAGGCAGAGATTGGCTTAATATGAGATAATGATATTACTATTTATACGTAATATAAGAAAATAATATTGCTTCATCTATTAAGGACCATTACTTGGGGCATGCATATACACCATTATATTTAAATTTTATAAAAATCCTACAAGGTAGGTGTTATGATCCCCATTTTACAGATGAGCAACCGAAGGCTTACACGGGCTAAGAAATATCTCCAAGATCACACAAATAACTGCTACAATAGGATTCAAACACAGGTATGATGCTGTGGGACTTGGTTAGTTCTCCATCTGTGACTGCACCAAACTGAGTTGACCTCACCCTTGTGATACCACTTTGGGAACCCTGTTTGTAGCAGCTCTGGAGGCAGCCCTACCATAATTTCAACAGTTGAAAAGGGCTAGTTGCCTCTGAAAGGGATATTGAGGGGATTTGGGCTCTTGGTGGTGCCGAATTAAGAGGCCATCAGGTTTTCCCCATTCCTATTTGATTCTCTATTGTCTACCTTGAAAATATCGGAATAATCCAGGTGCGAGTGTCTTTGGTGTTGCCAAAGATGGCTTCATCCACACTACCATGTGACCCTGTGGTTCTTATTCTTTCATCTCACATGCAAGCTATCCTGAGAAACTTTGACAAAGGCCTTGTAGGTATCAAAGTCTGTTAATTCAAGAGCAATGCAAAGCTAACAGAATGCACAGGAAAGGGCATGAATCTTGGAGTCAGGTTGACTTGCTTTTAAATTCTGATTATATGTATATATACACACACATGTACTGACTTTCTTTATTCTCTTTCTGTATCACTGCCGAGTTCTCTGGATTTGTCTTAGCTTTACCTGGTTTCACCAAGGTCTTCCAGACCACAAACCCAGCTTTCTTGTCTCTCATTTCCAGCCTGATTCCTGAGCCCAGGTGGCCAACATAGAACTCAGAGAAGAGCTGGGATTCTCCAGGTGTCCGATAGCAGAGCTCCAGTTCCTGTAGGGTGGAGGGAGACAAGAGTGGCCATGTGAGAAGCCACCATTTATCCTACAAGTGAGGCCTTGTCCCACGCAACACCTATTTAGTCCTCCTCAGAGCCATAGGGACACTCCAATAAGTCCTGGACTGAAATCAAGTATTGACTTTCATTTAGGCACTTTTCCTAATTTCTTACAATCCTGACTCAGAACAAGGCTCATCCTAAAAAGTGATGCTCATACATCCTAAACTAGATTTTTCTCCCTCCACCTTGAACCAGGTTCTCCTTCTCTTTCCCCCATCTTGAACTAAAATCCTCATCCCTTTAACCCAAAGCTTGTCTTTTCAATGAACCATAAACTTGATCCACTTTCAGTCAACAGAAAATCTAAGTCCAGCCTCTTCCCTAATCACATCAAAGACAAAACTCAATTCCTGTATTCCAAACATGCTGCTCTCCCATTTTCAACATACTCAGTATATAAGGGTGAATGTAGCACTGCAAATAGGACACACATGCACAGGTTTATTCTAAACAAAGCGTGTTTAAACAAGACTCAACGGTCAGTGGATAGCTGCAGACACTTACTTGTCTTAGTCTTGGTACAGTCAACACCAGTGGCTTCCTAGAGGATCTGCTGAGCCAGTGAAATTCAAGGTACAGAGATCAGCTAAGAAGGTTATGGTGATGGTTTTTTTTGGATCTCCAAGTGGTGATCATAATAGATTTTCTCAAAGGACACAGGACGATCACAGGGGCTTATTATGAAGAAGTTTTAAGAAAACTGACAACTGTATTGGTGAGAAAAAGGCCAGGAAGGAGAGCTTTGCCGAGGAATTTTTTTCCCATCACAACAATGGAGCTAATCATTCTTTAAGAGTAGTAAGGGCTGTCCTACAAGAATTTGGTTGGGACACCTTACCTTATTCACCTTACGGCCTGGATCTTGCCCCTTCAGATTTCTTTTTGTTCCCCAAAGTAAGAGAACCATTAAAAGTAGCATGATTTGAATCCCTGGTGGCGATGGTATGCCATAGAGTTGGTTCCCACTCATAGCGACCCTGCATAGAGTTTCTGAGGCTATAAATCTTTATGGGAGCAGAAAGCCTCATCTTTCTCCCGTGGAAGGTTTGGTAGTTTCGAACTGCTGACCTTGAGGTTAGCAGCCTGACTTGTAACCTCTGTGCTACCAGAGCTCATTATTTGAGTTCCTGGTGGTGGTGATTGTTGGTTATGTGACATGGAGTCAGTTCCAACTCATAGCAACTCAATATAGGGTTTCCAAGGAGTTGCTGATGAGGTTGAACTGCCGACCTTGTAGTTCACACTGAATTTGCAGTCCAGCGTATTAACTCACAGTGCCACACCAGGACTCCGTTAAGTTCTGGTTGTTGTTATGTGCCGTAGAGTCGGTTCCAACTCATAGTGACCCTATACAGGGTTTCTGAGGCTATAAATCTTTACGGGAGCAGAAAGCCTCATCTTTCTCCCACAGAACAGCTGGTAGTTTTGAACTGCTGACCTTAAGGTTTGCAGCCTGATTCGTAACAATTATGCTACCAGAGCTCCTTATTTAAGTTCCGTGTTGTTGTGATGTGCTATGGAGTCAGTTCTGACTCATAGCGACCCTGTACAGGGTTTCTGAAGCTGTAAATCTTTACGGGAGCAGAAAGCTTCATCTTTCTCCCGCTGAACAGCTGGTAGTTCTGAACTGCTGACTTTAAGGTTCGCAGCTAGATTCATAACCATTATGCCACCAGAGCTCCTTATTTAAGTTCCTAGAGGGTGCCAAAACTACTATTTTGACACGGTGTAAATCAAAAGGTTAGAATTCTTTGGGGGAAAGGTTAGAGAAGTGGAAACACAGCCTTCAGAAGTGTATAGCCCTAGAGGAGGATACGTCAAGAAACACTAACTTCACATTTTGATATTTGTTTAATAAAGGTGTCTATGATTTTATAGCAATACCTTTTGACTTACCCTCATGTGGCACTGAGTGCTCAGGTTTCAAATGTAGGCCCCATTCTTGAATCCTTCCATTCGTTCCCAATATACAGCCAATCTTCCAAGTCTCGTTGGCTCTTTCTCCAAAATATATCCTGAATCCATCAACTTTTCTATCTTCACTACACCTCCCTAGTCAAGTCACTATCAATTCTTGCAACAGCCTTTCAATATATATCTCCACTCTTGCCTCCTTATCATCCACCCGTTCTCCATCCAGCAGCCAGAGGTTTCTTTATTAAAGTAAATCAGGTCTGAAAACTGCTTCAGAGTCTGCAAGGGATTGCTATTGAACTCAGAAACACAACACAAACTCAGAGTTAGAGCCAACAGGATCAGTAAGTCTCAGGAGACCGTTCTCTCTCTTCTGACTCCATCTTTCTTTCTAAAAAACCTTTTCATTGTATCTCAGCCCATCTTTCTACTTCTTTTTAATATGCTCACAGACCTTGATACATTGGCCTCCTTTTTAGTCACCTGAAGTTATCTAGTTTGCTCCCACCTCTATGCCTCTATGTATGTTCCTTCTGCCTTGTCTGCTCTACCACAAATCTCCAGGTGCCGGAAGCCTTTCAGTCACTTGGCTCAGTTCAAATATCACCACTTCCCCTGACCTCTTAGTCTATAGGAGCCCAAGGCACTCTCTCGTATAACCTTGTTTTTATTTTATTTTATTTTACAGCCCATCATGGTACTCGATCACTATTTTCTTATAATTATTATTACAAACTGTAGGCCTCATCATACCAGCATGATGGATTAGTATGTCTTGGTTACTGAAATATCCACAGTGCTGAGGATACAACCTACTCAGCACTTGATACATATTTATCGAATGATTGAATCATGCCTCTTATTCCTCATTAACAATATTCTGAACTTAGTTTAATCTCATTAAATTTAGTAAAATTTCTGGATCTATTACCCCCTACCTTACCAAAACTTAATAGTTAGTCAAAGGGAAATCTGCGCTTTAGCAAATGCTTCTTTTTGAACTTCTGTAATGACTAGAGGACAGGTAGAACAGTTTGCAACTATGGAGAAAACAAAGCCACCCACTTGGATTTCTAAAGCAGACCCATGTGGATTCTGGGACATGATTTAGATCCTTGGTTTTGAGATCTGTTGCAAAGACTAATAGTAATTTTGGTTTTGATCATTGTCTATATTCTAGTTGCTGATGTACCCTGTTCTGAGTCTTATTATGTCCTGCACAATCATTATTACAGCACATGGTTCAACAACTCATCTTACAACAGAAAGAGAAAGAAATAAGGACTTCAACTCAATCATAGACCACTTTCAGTAGACACTCTTCTGATTCTAATGAGCAAAAGCTCAATAATGTGAAGAGCTAGCTATTATAAATTTATGTCCGGTGGCCCAGTTTCATCTGAGTTCACCCAAAGTGGTGAGAGCAGGGAAAGTGGGAGTGGAGAAAGAAATAAAAAGCAGGTCCAGATGTCCAGGAACTGATCTGATGCTTACAGATGGACCTCAGTGTTGTTACAAACTGATCTGATGCTTGTAGCTGAGCCACGTTATTCACCTGTTGAACATAAACAATGTCGCAGGACATCCACTTCAGACAAGGTCATTGGGCAACCTGCAAAATACCAAACACCTACCTCTCCTTGCTGCTACTTCTTGAGCAATTACAGCTTTATCTTTGCTCTAGTCTGCCTTCTCTACAGGTTTACTGAGATTTATTAAGACTCTTTCTCAAGGAATTGTCCTTACTTCCTGACAAATGCCCAATACAGAGCAAATATCTGCTTCCTTAACTCTTTCCACCCAAAGTTCAAATCCTACAATAGACTCTGTCTATCACCCTCTTGGAGTTTTGGTGTGGTGCTGTAGGATAAGCACTGGACTGCTAATCACTAGGTCAGTGGTTCAAACCCACTAGCTCCTCCTTGGAAAGACTTACAGGGTTGTTAGTAGTTGGAGCTGACTCAATGGCACTTAACAACAACATCACCTTCTTCCTGAGCTTTCCCATGATGTGTGTACAGCTTCACTACAATGAATCATAGTCCCAACCTGTTTAACTACAGGTATGTTCCTGGGGGTTATTGACTGGCTGGGATCGCCATCTTATAATGCAGACATGTCTCAATCTTCTTGTGATGAATTGATTTGTATCCCCAGAAATTTACAGTCAAGTCCTACCCCTAGTACATGGAAATGTGACCTTATTTAAAGATGTAATTAGTTAACGTGAGGTCATATTGCTGTAGATAAATCTTAACCCAATATTATTGATGTTTTTATAAAAAGAGAAGAGACACAAAGACAGACACTTGGAGAAGATGACCATGTGAAGATAAAGACAAGTGATTGGAGTCACGCTGCCACAAGCCAAGGGACACCAAGAATTGCTAGCCATCACCGGAAGCTAAGAGAGCATCATGGAGTCTTCAGAAGGAATTACTACTACTGACACCCTGATTTCAGATTGCTAGACTCCAGACTGTTCAAGAATAAATTTCTCTTGTTCTAAGTTACCCTACTTTGTGGTATTTGGTTTTAGCAGCTCTAGGAAACGAATACAGCTCTCAAGTCAAACCTAATCATTCTCCCTCTCATAAAGGGGATGCTCTCTAACCTCCTTTCCACCCTAATCTTTGAAACGTACCTGCTCACCCCAAATCCCACTCACTTTCTGACCAACTGCAATTCACTCATCCCTGGGAAAGCTCTGGTTCCTGTCCCACACGGTGTTCTCAAGCAGGGTTTCCGATTCTGATGAGAGAGTGGACATTTGACTGCTCACCTCAGGAATCATTTCCAGGTCCTTGGAGCTGGACACCATGTAGCGGGAGCCCATGTAGAGTGGGGTCAGTGGAGGTGGCTTGTGTAATCGCACAAACTGGAACTTCTTTTCTTCATCATCAATGGCCTAAGGAACATGCAGAGCGATGATTAAAATGTAGGGAGGAATGGTGTCTGACTCAGAGGTTCATCCCTATGGCGTCTGATCGGAATAAGGTTAGAGGTGTTCCAGCGTGTTTGTGAGGAGGAAGAGGATATAGCACTCTGGCATCCTTGACCCCCATGCACTGCTCTACAGAGATCTCCACTCTTGGCCTCTTTCATGTTTAAGGTAGGAATGGGGTGTTGCTAGAAAAGGAGAGAGGCATGGAGTCTTTCCATCTTTTGGTTTTTGGAAAGAGGCTGTAAAATGTCATCCAGAAATAGCTATGGAACAAGTTCAGCTTGGGGAGACCAATCTATGACTGAGTAAGGGACAGGATCATTGGTCCCTGTCAAGATTTCCACTTATAAGAGGCCAATCCCTGTTCCCAGTTGAGGAATTATCTAGCCACATTGTATGTTTGCTGTCAGCCCACCCTTGTCTGGCCTTTCTGGCTCTCAGAGTCACCTTCCGAATAGAACAGTCACTGGGAATCAGGTAAAGGTGGAAGGTGACTTCTTCAGGGTGGCGGTGATGGTAGAGCAAAACAGTAGAGGTGATGGGGATGAAGCGCAGTGCAGTATGGATCATTCGGAATAGAACTCCCATGGGGGAGAAGCTGGGGTTTTCCAAGACCGTAGATGAGGGTTCCACTCTGGCTGGCTTCTCCAGGAGCATCCCCTCCTTTTTAAAGTGGGCCACTTTGAACATGGAGATATCAACATTGTCCCCTGTTGAAGAATGAATTCAAGAGGTATAGATTTAGTGCCTTTGCGAATCAGGCTCTGGCTGTGTAATAGACTCTCAGGGCCTAGACACAGATACCTTCCTGAGGGCACTCACCATGGGGAGAGGGGCTTAAACATGTTTAAGTTTGGGACCTTTGGAGAGCTATAGGCACCACAGGAACTCTCTTGAGCTAAGCTCAAATGTAGGCCAGTCCCTTGAATATTTGGTTACCTGGGGATTTTAACTATGAAGTAATCAGTGAGTGATACTGAATGGTCTGACTCCAGGCAGGGAAAACACAAGAGTAAGGAAGGATGGTGAGAAAAGCGAAATGATCAAATTTGTCAAGTGTTTGGTCACCCACCATTCAAATTCTTTTTGGAACTCCCCTCCCTACACACACACACATTGTGTGGCTCTTGGCAGGGGGCAAGCTGAACTCCCAATCAGGAAGCTGCTGACACAGGTGTATGATTGAGATTTGATGAAATGGATGCTTCTACTAGGATCTGAATCTAGAGAGGGGGAAGTAAGATGAAAAGACAGATTGTTTGGGCAGTGGCAATGTATGGTGGTTGCCATGGTGGGGAGGGTCCTGTAATGGCTGTGTCTGTAGCAGAGGCCCCTCCAGATTTTTCTGAGTGTGACCTTGGTTTTGTTCTTGGCTTCTCAGCATCCTTTGAGCATTGCCTTTTGTTTTGTTTTTCAAGCCTACTGCTTAAAATTTTGTTAACTCTATTCATCACATACAATTATTTTCTGGTTTGTTAGTCAGAATTGGTTTCTTTGATGACATCTAAGAATTCTAACTAGGACTGGTGGTGGGAGAAGCATTGAGCTAGGAGTCCTGGTTCTATTGCTGTATTGCCTAGATTTACCTAATTTCTGGGTGACAGAGACATCCAGCAAGCCAGACAACGCTCCTAGCCTGAGCGGGCACTAGCCAGAACCTCACAGAGTTCCAGAAAAGTCTATGGAAACCATTACTTTAGTTTCTCTTTGTTGTATACAAAATAACATAGCACAATCTGAACAAAAGAATTCAGCTACAACCCCACCTATCAAACAATACAACCATTGCCTACGTTTCCTCTCCCATTATAGTCTTTCTCTGCAGGAAAACATGTTCCCATTTTTGTCCTGGTACAAGTAGTTTTGTCTCCTGCTTTTTCCTCGTCACTTTAAATTGTCACAAGTATTGGTCAGACTTTTCTAATAACCACATCCTATGTGGAAGAACCATCTGCCTCTTGTTTCAGCAGTGAGACTGTTCTCAACTTTTCATCATGACACGTTGTAATGTAATGTACATATTTTTGCAGAATGCTTCTATTTCCACTGGATTACTGCCTTAGAATCAATAAGTACCAATATATGAATAAAGTATATAAAAGGGAATGGACACTTTTAGGACTGTATTTAGGCAAATTGCTTTTCTAAGAGATAGTGCCATCAGTGACATTAAGTGGACTGGTCTCCCGCCCATACACCATGGTTCCAGCACTTCTTAATTTTCAGATGGGGAACTGAAACCCTATGGGGTGGGAGGAGTGATTTTCCCAAGACCACAAACCCAGCAACAGACTAGGTCATATGCTTACACCACAGTCCCTGATGCCTACAGATACTTTGTGCCAAACTAATTTTGGCTGAATTCTGGAAGATTCTGTGCATCTCTAACTTACCTTCTTAAGAGGGTGGCTAGTCATCCCCCAGTTTGCACAGGACTGAGTGACTTTCTAGATGCAGGACTTGCAGTACTAAACCCAGGGAAGTCCTGGGTAAACTGAGGTGAGTTGATCACACTCCTTCTTCAACATATTGACCTTTCCATAGACCCTAGCAGAATCACTTTCTCCAAATAGTTCATGGAAAAATGCAATGAAAAGATAATGGAAAATTTCCACGGATTTTTTGAGGTCTCCTCATATTTGTGCTGATAGATTGGAGACAGAAAAGAACCAACAGGAAAGATTCCGGTGTGAAGGAGGAGAGATCTGAGTGGTGACTGGGTAAAATGTCATTGATCAAAAGGGCCAGGACTTTCTTAAGTTCTCTTTGGCTGGTCTTATCAGAAGTAACCAGAATAACCCGTCATGGGGTAGGAGTATTTCTGCAACCGAGTCTGAGGCTCAGAGTCCCACAACCCTTTATTAAACAAAAGTTTATTGAGTACAATGTGTCAGACCTTGTGGCTATAGAATTGATTCTTGCTATTTGTGGTAGGTAAGGTCTATAAAACCAAAACACCAAATCAGTGGCTGTTGAATCACTGGTTCATGGTGACCCCATCAGTGTGCCAGAGTAGAACTATTAGACTCCATAGGCTTACACCAGCTGGTTTTTCAGAAGTAGATAGACAAGTTTTTTTTCTAAGTCACTTCTGGGTGAACTCAAGCCTCCAACTTTCTGTTTAGTAGCCAAGGGCATTAACCACTGGATCATCCAGGGTTTCTATGGTGCATAAATCCCCATGAACACCGAATAAGTGAATATTCAACTACTCTCATTCAACCTTGTGGTTGTTGTTAAATGCTGTTGAGTCAGTTCCAACTCATAGTAACCCTGTATAGGGTTTCTAAGGAGTGGCTAATGGGTTTGAACCACTGACCTTGTGGTCAGCAGTTAGTCCAGTGCTTATCCTACAGTGCGTCACACCAGGACTTCCATTCAACTTTAGCTGGGTGTTTTTTTGCCTCAATGTGCATGCGTGTGTCCTTTAATGACTGTAAAAGCTACTTGAGAAGTTTTATCGAATAAGCAGCTTAGAAGAATTGGTGTCTTTGAATTATGGTGTTGGTAAAGAAAGTTGCAAGTACCATGGACTGCCAGATGAAAAAAGAAGTACAGCCAGAATACTCTTCAGAAATGAGCATGTTGAAATGTTGTCTCATGTACTTTGGACACGTTATGAGGAGGGACCAGTCACTGGAAAAGGACATCATTGTTGGTAGAATGAAAGAGAGGAAGATCCCCAGTGAGATGGGTGGACACACTGGCTCCAACAATGGCCTCAAACATAACAATGTTGAGCAGGGCAAAGGAATGGGCAGTGTTTCCTTCTATTGTACTTGGGGTCACTGTGAATCAGAGCCAACTCAGCAGCAACCGACAACAATATCCTCTAGAATTTCCTTCAGTAAAGAATTGCTTTAAAAAATCTCTTTTGGTTTTAACTTGTTTTGAAATGACTTTCTCATTTTTTTTTTAACCTTCTTAAAAAATAATTTCTCTTATTTACAATTCTCAATTGATACTTTCTCAGTGCACTGAAAATGTTACTCCATTTTCTACTTACTGCCTTCCATTGTTGTAGTTCAAGTCAGCCCTCAGTCGAATTGCCATACCTTTCTAGGTAATCTGGATTTTTTTTTTCCTGACTACTGTCAAGATCTTTCCTAGGAGTCCTGGTATGGTGCTGAAGGATAAAACACTGGCCCGCAAGGTCAGTTTGAACCACAAGGTTGGTGGTTCAAACTCACCAACTGCTCCTCAGAAACCCTATATAAGGTAGCTATGGGTTGGAACTGACTCTATAGCACCTAACAACAACTGTCAAGATCTTTTCTTAGACTTTGATATTCTGAAGTTTCACTATAATGGATCAAATGCTGTTTCTCTCTCTCTCTTCTGCTTTGGACTTTCTGATTGTGAGAAGTCATATCACTCAGCAATTCTGAAAAATTTTTGGCTGTAATTTCTATGAGTATGGCATTGTCTTCATTCTCTCAACCAGATCCTTCTGGAATCACAATTAGTTGTCTGTTAGGCTTCCTCACACTGTCTTCCATATCATTTAATTTTTTTTTCATATTTCCTGTCAATTTATTTCCATATTTGGTTTATCTTTTTAAATGATTTCTTTTTGCTTCTTGTTCATATTTGAAAGATTATTTATTTCTTTAAATGTATGAAACATACTATTTTACATTCTGTGTCTGATAATTCTAGGTCCTGAAATCTTTATAAGACTGATTTTATTACCTCTAATTTCTGTTGGTTCTTAAGTATGGTGGTGGTGGTTGTTGTGTGCTGTAGAGTCAGTTCCAACTCATAGCAACCCTATATAAGATTTCTGAGGCTGTAAATCTTCAAGGGAACAGAAAGCCTCATCTTTCTCCAGAGGAGCAACTGGTAGATTCAAACTGCTGACATTGTGGTTAGCAGCTCAGCTCATCATCCACTATGCCACTAGGGCTCTCATATAGGGTGGCTTGTTTGTGAGATTTTTGACTTGCGCTCATGTTTCTTTGAACTTTGTGGGAAGAGAGGTCAGGATAGATATTACCCTTTATGACTACATTTCCTATTGGGAAGTCCCTCTTTCATGACTCCAGCCAGGTCTTAAATGGATTTGGTGACGTCATTCCTTCTTCCTGCCTATAGAAATAGGAACAGTTTCCCACTGTTACCAGTCTCTAGGTACTCCAACATTCCTGGTTTTCCCACTTAGATTCACTTTTTAAATAGTTCTGTTTTTGAAACATTTCTTAAAAAATATCACCAAATATACCATTTGTTTCCTGCAGGGACTCTGAGTGATACGTGATGTAAAGAACATTTAATGAATGCTAGCTATTGTTGTTAGTGAGGACATCTCTGGTAGTGTAGTGGTTACGAATCGGGCTTCGAACCTTAAGGCCGGTAGTTCGAAGCTACCAGCTGTTCCACGGGAGAAAGATGAGGCATTTTGCTCCCGTAAAGATTTACAGCCTTGGAAACCCTGTACAGGGATGCTATGGGTCGGAACCGACTCGATGGCTCATAACAACAACAACCTCAACAAGGAAGCTCATGGAGTCCTGGCATGGTGCTGTAGGATAAGCACTCGACCTCAAGGTCAGTTTGAACCTCAAGGTCAGTGGTTCAAACTCGCCAGCTGCTCCTCAGTCGGAACCAACTTGATGGCACTTAACAACAACAACAACAACCCAAGTAAGCTTAGACAAAAAATAATTATGCCATTGGGAGAAAAATGCTTCAAAAAAAGATATGTCCAGAGCAGAGTGAAGGAAAATCTCATCTCCATTTCCATAACCCTCTCAGTTTCCTAAAGGAAGCTATAAGCTCCTCCCCAGGACATCCTAAAGCCCCTTCCAGGACCGTTATTACCATCCCTCTAGACGTCTCTCCTGCTTGCTTACCTTGGAGGGCTACAAAATGAGGAAGGTACACAGCTGCCACAGCTCCCGGCTCCGCCTTAATGTCAAACAGAGGTCCGGCAACCATCCAACTGTGTTCTGGGACAGTCCCATCCAGAAATTGGTTCCAGGTACAGAACTCAATCTCAATGGTCACTGCCCCTCTCACTACAAAGCGGAGACCTGTGTTGGGCCAGTGGTAGGAGCCGGCCATAGGGAAATGAACTCTGCAAGAACAGAAAGAGGCAGACACTAAATACTCTACACAGACTCACTGAGTTTCTAGTCAGTGCCAGACGCTGCCGTGGGCATTGTGGCTACATGCCAAGACTTCAAATTCAAACGGACTAGGTTTGAGTCCTGGCTCTTGGGTTCAGGAACTGCAGATCCCTGAGCAAGCCATTCCAACTTCCCAAGTCTTCATTTACTCATATGTAAATAGGGAGTGGTTAACATATGTCTGTGAGTGGTTAGCTTCCATTGTGTTGATGATAATAATGATGAGGCAATAGGCAAGTGTTCTTGTTTTTAAGGATTTGATTGACCGGTTATTCATAACAATCCATTGTTGTTGTTGTTATGTGCTGAGGAGTCCATTCCCACTCATAGGGACCCTGTACAGGCTTCCCGAGGCTATAAATCTTTATGGGAGCAGAAAGCCTCATCTTTCTCCCATGGAACAGCTGGTAGTTTAGAACTGCTGACCTTGCGGTTCACAGCCCGCTTTATAACCACTACGCTATTAATGCTAAACCACTGGGGCTGAAAACAACTCTTTATAGAAATCTCAGGTGATTTCCCCAAGGCTCTCCATCTGGTAAATGGTGGGGGTCCCTGGATCTAAGGTTCTGTGGGTGTAAATTGAGCTTAACACTATTTTTCAGATGAGATAATGTCTGGTGAATGACAAAGTGTCACATAAAAGATCATTATTATGAGGATTATAATATTTATTAATTTTGAGACTGTTCACCCTTGGCACCTAACACACCCAACAACAACACATTCTTGGAGGGCAGGGCTGCTATGTTCATCTTAGTGTCCTCAGACACTGTTATGGTATTTAGCACATGTTGTTGTTGTTGTGTTTTTCCAACTCATAGTGACTCATTGAGTTGGTTCCAACTCACAGTGGCCTTGTATAGGGCATTCAAGAAGTGATTGATGAGTTTGAACCACCGACCTTGTGGTTAGTAGTCCAGTGCTATCCTACAGTGCCATGCCAGGTGGGTGTGAGCGGTAGAGTCAGTTCTGACTCATCGTGATCCTGTAGGGGTTTCTGATGTAAATCTTTAGAGGAATAGACAGCCTTATCTTTCTCCTGTGGGGCAACTGGTAGATTTGAAGTGGTAGATTGTTGGTTGGCAGTCTAGTTCATAATCCACTATGCTACCAGAGTTCCTTTGGACTCCATTGTTGTTGTTAAGTGCCACTGAGTTGGTTCCAACTCATAGTGACCCTATATAGGGTTCCAAGGAGTGGCTGGTGGATTTCAATTGCTGACATTGTGGTTAGTAGTTCAGTGCTTATTCAATAGCACCATACCGGAACGCCATTGGACTCCACCAGTAGATAATAATGAGTGTGTATATTGAAAGGGATTTAGACAACATTTAAGAGCCATAACAAATAAATGCTAGTGAGTGGACTTTGTTTGGATCCTGGTGGTTGTTGCTAGGTGTCCTCCATTAGGTTCTGACCCGATGCACAACAGAAGGAACCATAGCCTGATCCTGCAACATCCTCACAATTTTTGTTTTGTTTGAATCCATTGCTGCTGCCGCCATTGCGTCAATCCTATCATTGTGGTCTACCTCCTTTTTTGCTGACCCTCCACTTTACCAAAGGAGCCCTGGTAGCATAGTGGATTACAAACTGGATTGCTAACCTCAAGGTCAACAGTTGCTCAAAGGGAGAAAGACGAGGCTTTCTGCTATCAAAAAGGTTTACCTTTTTTGGAACCTTATACAGGGTCACTGACTTGGGGGCACTCAACCACCAATCTCACTTTACCAAGCATGATGTCATTCTCCAGGGAGAATGATCCCTCCTCATAACATGTCTGAAGTAGGAAAGATGAAGTCTTACCATCTGGCTTCTAAAGAGCATTCTGGTCATACTTCTTCCAAGATAGATTTGTTTGTTCTTCTTGCGTTGATACTTTTAATATTCTTCACCAACACCAGGATTCAAATGCATCGACTCTTCTTGGGTCTTCCTTAGTCATTGCCCAACTTCCACATGAATTTGAGACGATTGAAAATACTATGGTTTGAGTTGGGCATACCTTAATCCTCAAACGGATTTCTTTGCTCTTGAACACTTTAAAGAGGCCTTTGGCAGGTTTCCCTACTGTAATACACCCTTAGATTTCGTGACTGCAGCTTCCATGAGTGTTGGTTGTAGATATAAACAAAATGAAGTCATTGACAACTTCAATCTTTTCTCCATTTATCATGATTTATTGTTTCAGTTGTGAGACGCAATTCATACTGAAGGCTAAATTCTTCATCAGTAACTATTTTAAGTCCTCTTCACTTTCAGCAAGCAAGGTTGTATCATCTGCATACTGCAGGCTGTTAATGAGTTTGCCTTTAATCCTGATGCCATGTTCTTCTTCATATAATCTAGTAATCTAGTTTCTCAGATTATTTGCTTGGCATACAGATATAGTGAAAGAATACAATCCTGGCACACACCTTTCCTGATTTTAAACCATTCACTATCCCCTTGTTTTGCTCAAACGACTGCCTCTTGGATTATGTACAGGTTCTTTACAAGCATAATGAAGTGTTCTGAAATGCCCATTCTTTGCAACGTTATCCATAGTTTGTCATGATGCACACAGTTGGAGGCCTTTGCATAGTCAGTAAAGTATAAGTAAACATATATCTGTTACTCTCTGCTTTCAGCCAATATCCACAGGATGTCAGCAGTGATATCCCTCATTCCATGTCCGCTTTGAAATCTGACTTGAATTTCTGGCAGCTCCTTGTTGATGTACTGCTGCAATCATTTTTGAATTATCTCCAGCAAAATTTTACTTGCCTGTGATATTAATGATGTTGTTTGATGATTCCCTCATTCTGTTAGGTCATTTTTCTTTGGAATGGTCACTGTTTCAATTGATTGATCAGAAAGCTGTTTCAAATTTCTTGCCATAGATGAATGAGTGCCTCCAGTGCTGCATCAATTTGTTGAAACATTTCAATTTATATTTTGTCAATTCCTGAAGCCTTGCTTTGTGTCAATGCCTCCAGTGCAATTTGGACTTTTTCCTTCAGTACCTTTGGTTCTTGACCATATGCTACTTTTTGAAATGGTTGAACATTGACCATTTCTTTTTGAATAGAACAAACCAAATGCAAGAGCACATTTTAGACAATTTTGCCAATTTCAACATGAACTGGGTTTTAAATGATATGAAAGACTTATTGTTAGATGTGATCATGGCATCATGATTGCCACACCAACTCCAATGCAGTCTGTGTGACATGTTCACCAGATGGAGGCAGAAGTTTCAAGGAAGTGTGCCTTCTCAGATTGGAGTGTGCCCCCAGCGTGATCTCTCTTGGCTGTTCATGTTTGCTATTCTTTCTTCTCGTTCTGGGAATAAGTCTCATTGTACTATTAGAAGGCCATGTTCCTTTGAGTCCATTTGTTGATAGAACATTAGATACCTCGGAAATCAAACATGAAAATAACAAACAGCAAATTGAACAGGAGGCGTCACACTGGCCACCTGTATTGCAGGCATTTGCAAAAATACCTTTTAAACTTATTTACCCCCCAGAGTAGAAGGTCTAGTGGGAATTAACACAATTACACAAACTCCTGCTCCACACAGTTAAGACTAAGAAAAGTTTTGCTTTTGTGCTCTTGAGTGGTCGTTTGTGGCAACCCCCTAAGGGAAAGCCCTCTAGAATTCCTGAGCCTACCCCTGAGCCATTGTCTTATACTGGAAAGTACTACGAGTTTGGCAATCGATGGATAATTGAAAACGGAAAAGAGTTTCTTGGTTTACATTGTCTTTCTTAAAAAGATTACAGAGAAGTAGTAAATGTGGTGTTTGCTGACACAAGAAGAGAAAGGTGATTTAATTAAACAACTAAGCATTATGAAAGCATTCCTAGACAGACATTGGAAAGCACTAGGAGGAGTCCCGTGGAGTTATTTAAGAAGCATACATGAAATTGATAAGGATATCTTTTAGAGATTAGAAGCTAGAAATTATTAATATTACAATCTCTGAGAAGTTCTCACCTTGATCATATGTTACAGAATTAAAGGATCACTGAAGCATGTTCTTAGAATTCTCTGTTAAACCAGGAAACCATTGTCTGCCAAGTTCTATTGTTTAAACCTGAAAACTTGTTATGTTTTAGAAGATGACGTAACCTAGGCTATTCTACTTTCTGTATCTTTTTTGGCCATCTGGCGTTTGCGTAAATTAAAAAAGGTATAAAAATTGTAAGTAGAATAGAATTAAAAATATACACAGAGCACCAGAGCAAGAATAAAATGCACACTTTGTAAATCAAGCCTCGATGTCTCATTCATCACCGAACCTCTACCCACTCTCGGTTCTAGCTTCGAAGACCCTTGTCCCCAGGCTAAAGCCCTCCGGCTTAGCAGTCTGCGGCACATGATAATGGAAGAAAATGTCTCCTTTTACTTTGTGAAATGCATAATGCAATATTTAAAGATAAAATCACCCAGTACAGTGTCTCAGATTTGAAATACTGTAACAACATAAAAAAGAGAAGGTTAAATTGTTGGCATGAGTTTGGCAAAACGATGTCAAAGGTGGGTATGAAAATAGTGTGGGGGCCATGTCTACTTCTTCTGACTTCACAAGGGGGAAAGAGAATCAAATTCAAAATCAGCCCAATGCTGATTCTTATGACGTAGTGGTCAGACACGCCTCCATCCTACAACGTTCTTTACCTTATTTGGATACTCCCGCAGCACTCTGTGTTTTAATTAAGATGACGTTGGATAGAAAAGTCATATCAAGTAAATTCAAGGTACCACAGTGAGTGATGGCCACATAGAAATGGTCTTGGGATTGTCCTTTCCTCTACTTTAATGCATATTTGAAAATTTTCATAATAAAACTTTTTTTTTTGGTCCATAATAAACAGCGCAGACCCAGTACTTCAGTCCTGTCCCTACTTGCTGTCTTGACAAGAGAAGAGGACCCAAAGGGAATGGTTGTGGTAATGACTTTGTGTGTTTTTCACAGAGCCCCCTCACTCACCGGTACAGGCTCTTCTCTTTGTTGACCATCTTGGTGGCCACTGGTCCTGTGGGTCCCCAGAAGTCATCATCCATCTCCAGAGGCTCCATGCATAGATTCCCCAGAGGGGCAGGAGAAGATAGGCAGAAGGGGCTCACTTGAGCGACTTGTGGGGAGCTTTGTTCTAGAATAAGCAGGGCAGTGGTTAGCTTTAGGTTCTCCTGCCTGGTCTCTCCTAGGTCCCTACAGCTAGAACGTGGAGGATCTCTTCCCAAGGCTGTGCCTGCAGCCTCCACCCCTGCTCCTGGTTGCCCACCTTATATCTGAGGAGGCCTGGCTCCAACTGGCCCTGATCCGGCCTCTGCCCACCTCCCTTCTCCACTGGTCCACAAGTATCATTATTCCCAGTAAGCCCTATGATTCTCAGGCTTCAGCCTCCCAGAATGAGCCTTGAAAAATTGAACCCTGGTTCAGAGTCTGACACATGCCATAGACATCCTGGAGAGGAGCGGCTCCAGCCCCAAAGCTGAGAGAGAAAGAAGCAGAAATCAGATTCTAAGAGTAACATATCCCATGGGAAAGGGGGCAACCATCTCATCCTGGGTGGGGAAACTGGCTTGTCCCATGTCAGAAGCAGGGGGATCAAGGACATGTATGACCTTCTACTCCACTCCACCCCAATCACTATGCTTTCAGTAAGACCCCTTCAAACTACCTGATTCTGACCTCTGCCGTTTCATTGAAGAAATGTTACTACTCAAATTTCCCCCATCTGGGTCTTCATTAGCGACCATCACATGTTGCTTCCTAGAAAATGGAATTGTTAGTTCTCCTTCAGATCTTGGAGCATCTGGAATTGTCTACATGACATCCCCACTTCAAATTTAACTCATTTGAATGGGAACTCATGACCCCTACCCTGGGTCACTCTCATAATCCTGGTCTCTGTGAATGGCCTGCCATTCACCTACCCATCCATCCCCGAAATGGGGCGTCATCCTCACTGGTTGATCATCTTGCTGCCATTTGCTTTCTATTCACCTCTCTGCTCCTCCTCAACCTCCAAACTATTCCTGGGCTCTGCCATTTCTAGCCTAACCCATGGCAGCATCCTCTTAGATGTCTTCCTGCCTCTACTCTTGTCTCTCTCCATTCTATTTGCACCCAGAAGTTAATCTTAAACATGACCAAGCATATCATTTTGTTACTCAAGTCTACTGCTTTTAATATAAAATGGAAAGTTCTTAATCTGATCCCAAAGGCTTTGTTCTGACCCTGTCCACCTACAAACCCACCGGTGCCATTCTTTCTTGTGTTCAATGACCTCTGGACTAAAAAAAGTAAAACACTTTCTGTTGAATGGAGTTGATTCCTCCTCATGGTGACCCTATATATGCGCAGCAGAATCGCTCAGTAGGGTTTTCAAGTCTGTGACCTTTTTGGAAGCTGATCTGAGACAACTCTCTAGGTAGGTTCAAACCACCAACATTTTGACTAGGAGTTCAGCCTTTAACTGGTTTTGCCACGCAGGGACTCCATCTCTAGACTGGAGGTTCTCAACCTTGGTGTGCTTATAAACCACTCAGAAGGCTTGTTAATATAGATTTCTGGGCCTCAGCTCCAGAGGTTTTGATTCAGCAGGTTTGAGGTGGGACTGGGGCATTTGCATTTCCAGCAAGCTCCCAAGTGATGGTGATGATGATACGGCTGGTCCACTGACCACACTTTGAGGATGACACTGAGTAACATGACCCCAAACACCTGCCTTCCTTCTAGTTCCTCAAAGGAGATAAGCTCTTTCCTCCATCAAAGCCTCTGTTGTGCCTAGAGTCCACCTTCTCTGGGCCCAGCTAACCCGTCCCATCTTTCAGAGTTCATTTCAGCTTCTTCCAATCGGTTCAAGCATCCAAAAGACTTCCGATGCATTTACACTGGCCCCAGGTAGTTCCATAGGATAAGCACTGGACTGCCAACCACAAGGTTGACAGTTCAAGTCTATCAGCAGCTCCTCAGGAGAAAGATGAGGCTTTCTGCTCCCACAAAGATCTAAAGCCTTGGAAACCATATATAGGATTGCTATGAGTCTGAAGCCACTCGACAGCACTTAACAACAGCAGGTGTAAACACATGTTTACACATTGGTTTATGGGATAATGTGTGTTCCTGCCTCCTGGAAGTTGGGCTGTGTCTGTCTTGTTCATTGTTGTATCTTCAGAGCCCCAAATAGTGCCTGGTCTATAATGGATCCACAGAGGGTATTCGTTCAATGAAGGACTGGATCCTCCTCCTAAGCCTGGGACTCCACTCCTTCCATGCATTTCAAGTGAGGCAGTCGGGGGTGGGGGTGGGGAGGTTGAGGACAGGTGGTGAGAAGCACTTCACTGCCACAGGTGAAAATGGGCCAATCAGAGCACGATTGACATGTATATGAGGGAACTTCAAAAGTTCATGGAAAAATCCCCTGATTTTTTCATTTCATTTTTGCCATGAATTTTATGAAGCCCCCTAGTAAGTGTGTGGAATCCTGGTGTGGTACTGTGGGTTAATGTGCTGGATTGCAAAGTCAGTTTGAACTGCAAGGTCGGTGGTTCAAGCTCACCAGCCGCTCCTTGGAAACCATATACAGTGTCACTATGAGTCGGAACTGACTTGATGACACTTAATAACAAGTAACTGTGTGCACACAGGTATGTGTGTGTGTTAGAGTGGGTGGTGGTGATTTTCCCAAGGATTTCTCTTTATCTTTGTCTCCCCCTGTGGCCATTTCTTTCCATTTTAAAAAAACATGTCGGTTCTGCTCATTGATGGAATGAAGCAGCGCCCAATGTTTACCAAGCCATGCTGGGTGCAGGGGATTCACTCACCCACTCACCCACTCACCCACTCACCCACTCACCCACTCACTCACTCACCCACTCACCCACTCACCCACTCACCCACTCACCCACTCACTCACTCACCCACTCACCCACTCACTCACTCACCCACTCACCCACTCACCCACTCACTCACTCACCCATTCACTCACTCACCCACTCACCCACTCATCCACTCACCCACTCACTCACTCACTCACTCACTCACCCACTCACCCACTCACCCACCCACTCACCCACTCACTCACTCACTCACTCACTCACCCACTCACTCACCCACTCACTCACTCACTCACTCACTCACCCATTCACCCACTCACCCACTCACCCACTCATCCACTCACTCACTCACCCACTCATTCACTCACTCACCCACTCACCCACTCACCCACCCACTCACTCACTCACCCACTCACCCACTCACCCACTCACTCACTCACTCACCCACTCACTCACTCACTCAGTCACTCACTCACTCATCCACTCACTCACTC